GTTAGTGAACCTAACTATGCTTTGGTTTCCTCACCTATAAAATAATTAATAATAATAATAGTAGTAGTAGTAGTAGTAGTAGTAGTAGTAGTAGTAGTAGTACCTGCCTCATAAGGTTGCTGTTGGTACTAAAAAAGTTCAATTCACATAAATTTCTGAAATCAGTCTTTGGCACACAGTACGTTTACTGGTCTGCTGCGGCTGCTGTAACAAAATACCACAGTCTTGGAGACAAACAATGGAAATTTGTTTTCTCGTAGTTCTGGAGACTAGAAGTCCAAGATTGGTGCAGGCTTCTTTCTCGGCTTACAGACATCTCCCTTCTCACTACGTTTTACACGGTCTCTCTGTGGCGCATGCGCAAGGGACAGAGCTCTGGTGTCTCTTCCTTAAGAGGAGGAGATTAGAGCCCCACACTTACGATCTCGTTTAACCTTAATTACCTCCTAAAGGCTCCATCTCCAAATATAGTCACGTTGGGGTTAGAGCTGCAACATATAAATTAGTGAGGGACACAATTCTGCCCAGAGCAGTAAAACTATATAAATACTGTTGATTTTACTGTTTATGTATATACGACTATTGCTCTAAAGGAAAATAGTCTTATTCACAAACCAAATTACAGAATCTAAAGCAAATAACCGATCTCCTGGCAGACTGGTAGCAAAGAAGGTAAAACTTTTTATTGGAATATATACTTAATTTCTTTTCATTTTCATAATGGTCCCTCTGAAACGGAGGACCAACAGGAACATCTTGCTTCCATGCCCAGTTAACTGAGGATGAAAGGGCCAAGTTTCCAACTCTAACCTCCTTTAACTTGTACGATCTCACAGACACCTCCTAGTTTACCCAGGAAATTAACGCATGTGCTCCTATGACAAGCTGTCAAGAACCCACCTGACAATAACCGGAACCTACCACGCCTCTGTCATCACAGACCAACCCTCACCAAATAGCGATCTATAAAGTTTACATCTGAAGAAGTCTGGCAAAATTACCAAAAATTAAAACTGCTTTTCATTTTTTTAAACTGCTATTATTTTTAAAAAGAGAAAACATTGTCGAATTTCTTCCATTAGGATTTTAACAAAATTACATTCAGTTAAGAAAGAAACATCCATTTTAGTAACAAAAAGATTTGTATTGACTTCTAAGGAATGAAATTTTTTAGGTTATATGAAAGCTCATTTATCTTCTGAATTTAAATTCAACAAACAATCTTTCCTTATACAGTACTGCAATGATTAAATGGAATAATGTATGTTATTTAACTACTACCTTGCCCAGGACCAGTATCTATTTGATGAATGTTAATACATTAAGTGTTCTGAGAAATGAGGTTTTAAAAAAAAGTAGGAAATTAATATCCAACTCCTGTTTTCAGTACATATTTATACTCCAATCCATTAAAAGGGCTCATAGTTACCACTGAGCTTAATATAAAGGGATATTTACTTGAAGAGAGGATCTAATTTTAATCAACCATTAAATATAACGGCTTTTACTTTACTTTACGTCTCACAGGGTGGCATCCATGTAGCAATGAAAACTTCTCTATCTGTAACCTCTGCTGAGGAAATATACTTTATTAAGTGATGGCTGCAAAATTAAATGTCACATAATGAGATCTCTGGTGTCTCATTATAATTTAAATCTTTTAAACTACAATATAAATTAAAATTTTTTCCCATTATTTCTCCATCCCAACATCTTTCAAGCTCAGGAGAAATTACCTTTCAGTCATTTTCTTTTTTTACAGAAAACAACCAGGCAAAAAACAGATTATAAGAGAAATCACAGCATGAGAAAAACCTTCCACAGTTTCACATGCAAAGAAAAATGCCGTTGTTTGGATTGCGGTTGTGGTGCATCGCAATGAGCAACAACCGCATCGCATGTGGCTAGTTTATGTGCATTGCTACCCGTTAATACGTTCTTGCTTTCATCTATTATTACTTAAAAGAAAACCATCACGTCAAGAAGAATTTTAAAAAAGGAAAGACGTGAAGACTATAAAGAACTGCTTGATGATTCTCAAAACTTATCCTGGGTTTAAGTGAAAGTTTTTAGGTAAGTTAGTTAAGTAAGCTAACTGGCTCTTTGAAACAGAATTTTTACACGTGGACAGAACTCAAGAGAGGTAGAAAGTTAGAGAGAACTCAGGTTGAATACAGCTCTTCCGCAGACCTCCATACATATCCACCTTGTAACAGCAAATGTACAACAGAAGCCACTAAACTGACCGACTAAATCACCTTGGGCACGTTAAGTTTCTTTACATACATATGCAAGCACGCCTGTGTTACTGCGCTTGGGTAGCAGCCCTGTGTCGAGCGAGCCTACTGGCGCCATTTTTCCAACAGCATTTGCTCACCTTGAGTCTCTGTATCACGTTTTGGTAATTCTCACAATATTTCAAACTTTTTCATTATTATTATAATAGTTATGGCAACCTGTAGTCAGTGACCCATCTTACGACTGCATTGCTCTGGGACGCTATGAGTTGCAAACTACAAGACGCTAAAGTTAATAGATTTGTGTGCTCTGACTGCTCCACCAACTGGCCAGTCCTCTTTCTCTTTCTCCTCAGGCCTCTGTATCCTCTATGGAAATCGGGCCAGTTAATAACCCAACAATGACCTCTAAGTGTTCAAGTGAAAGGAAGAGACATATGTCTCCTACTTTAAGTCCAAAGCTAGAAATGATTGAGCTTAGTGAGGAAGGCATACTGAAAGCCAAGACAGGCCGAAAGCTTGACCTCTTGAGCCTGTTAGCCAAGTTGTGAATGCAAAGGAAAAGCTCTTGAAAGAAATTAAAAGTGCTACTCAAGTGAGCGCACAAATGATAAGAAAGCAAAACAGCCATATTGCTGATATGGAGGAAGTTCTGGTGATCTGGATAAAAGACGAAACCAGCCACAACATTCCCTTAAGCCAAGCCTCATCCAGAGCAAGGCCCTAACTCACTTCAGATCTATGAAGGCCAAGAGAGGTGAGGAAGCTGCAGAAGAAAAGTCTGAAGCTGGCGGAGGAGGCTGGTTCATGAGGGCTAAGGAAAGAAGCCGCTTCTCTAACATAAAAGTGCAAAGTGAAGCAGCAAGAGCTGATGTAAAGGCTGCAGCGTGTTATCTGGAAGGTCTAGCTAAGACAACGAATGAGGGTGGCTGCACCAAGCAACAGATTTCCATTGCAGACAAAAGAGCCTTACACCGGAAGAAGATGCCATCTGGTACTTTCACAGCTAGAGAGAAGTCAATGCCTGGCTTCAAAGCTTCAAGAGAGGCTGACCCTCTTGTTAGAGGCTAATGCAGCTGTGACTTTAAGGTGAAGCCAAGGCTCATTTACCAGTCCCAAAACCCTCGGGCCCTTAAGAACCATGTTCAGTCTACTCTGCCTGTGCTCTCTGAATGGAACAAAGCCTAGATGACAGCACATCTGTTTACAACATGGTTTACTGATTATTTTAAGCTCACTGTTGAGACATACTGCTCTGAAAGATTCCTTTCAAAATATCACTGCTCATTGATAATGCACCTGGTCACCCAAGAGCTCTGACAGAGACGTGCAACGAGACCAGTGGTGTCCTCCTGCCTGCTAACATAGCGTTCCCTCTGCAGCCCATGGATCAGGAGTAATTTCAACTTTTAAGTCTTATTATTTAAGAAATACACTTAAGAAATAAGGCTAAGGCTGCCATAGATAATAATTCCTCTAATGGATCTGGGCAAAGTAAATTGAAAACCTTCTGGAAAGGGTTCACAATTCTAGATGCCTTTAAGAACATTCTTGATTCACGGGAAGAGATCAAAATAGCAACATTATTGGAAATCTGGAAGAAGTTGATTCCAAGCCTCGTAGATGATGACTTTAAGGAGTTCAGGAAGTAACTACAGATATGGTGGAAACAGCAACAGGACCAGAATTAGAAGTGGAGCCTGAAGATGTGACTGAATCGATATACTAATTGATATACTAACTGATGTAAATTGCTGCCATCTCATGATCAGATTTGAATGGATGAGGACTTGCTTCTTATGGATAAGCGAAGAAAGGATTTTCTTGAGATGGAATCTACTCTTTTAAAGATGCTATGAAAATTATTGACATGACAACTAAGGATGTGGAATATTACATAACCCCAGTTGTTAAAGCAGAGGCAGAGTGTGAGAAGGCTGACTCTAATTTTGAAAGAAGTTCTACTGTGGGTAAGATGCTATCAAACAACACTGCAGGCTGCAAAGAAATGCTTGTGAAAGGAAAGGTCAATCGATGCAGCAAACGCCACTGTTGTATTATTTCAAGAATTTGCCACAGCCACCCCAACCTTCAGCAACCACCACTCTGATGAGTCCACAGCCATCAATGCAGAGGCAAGACCCTCCACCTGCAAAAGATCAGGACTCGCTGAAGGCTCAGATGATGGTTAACAATTTTTAGCAATAAAGTATTTTTTAATTAAGGTGTGTACTTTTAGATATAATGCTACTATTGCACAGTTAACAGACTGCAGTATAGTGTAACATAACTTTTCTACGTACTGGGAAACCGAACTTTGTGGGTCTTGCTTTACGGCGGTATTCACTGTACTGTGGTTGAACCAGGACTGTAACAGCCCCTTGGTGCGCTTGTACACAGCATTACTGGAATTTCTTTCCTTCTCCTCGTCCTCTCTAATATGTGAGTAACAAGACTGATGCTATGTTGAAGAAAAAGAATTACAAGTAGGTACCTAACTTCTCAGCATTTAAAAAATGCAGAAAAAGCTTCAAAATACTAAGATAGATGACTAACACATCTGTATATAACAGAAGATCTACCACATATCTGTGTGTTCCAAAGCAACCATAACCCATCTTGACTGAAACTTGCAAAAAAATATATGTTGCTTCCCATTATAATTTGAGTATTCCACAGAAATACTCAGGTTTTAGAAAGTTTGATCCTGTTCTAAATATGGAAGTAAAGAATGAAAATAGTACTAAGAAAAAGTAAACTTACCAAATATATTAGTGGAGTGTCCTTTCTTTGCAATAGGTCTGAGTTCGTTATGTCCCCATCCATATAACCTATAATTATCCCAGGCATATTTCATCATCTGAGAAAAGAAAAATGGTAATCCATCAATTTACACTTATCTTTATATTTCATGTAATCCACTGATTCTAACACTATAACTTTACACATTCTCCTACATCTCCTACATGAGTATATTATTCTATTAACATTTGTATGGGTGTGAAAACACACTTAATACTGTTTAACCTCAAGGTCTACACAGCAGAAGAATCTGTCATGGACAAGTTCTTTTTATTGCGGAGGAAGGTGTTTGTTTGGCACT